GCATAGCCTTATATGGTATTTTTGGGGTGGTAATAATGCTAATCTCCTCTCGCGTGCACGAGCAGCTGGATACAAACAGGTGGAATTTACGCAGCTCATTTACACACTTTTCCTGAAGATAGAAGAGTTTGTTGAATCTGACGTGACATGTTCTTACGAACCCTTCGTATGAACAAAAGTAAGAGAAATTTAGGATAAGAATACGAACATGTTCTTGCACGAGGCCCATTGTTATTAGCAGTGGTTTAACAAACTTAACGAATTAAAATAGACAAAAAAATTTTAACAGCATTGTTGGAAAAACTTTGACTTTCCAGAGCAGACACTGAGGTAAAACTGATTGATTGCACCATTAAAACAGCTCCAGATGCACGCAGGGCCAAGGATGTTCTGCTTCATACGTCTGCCGGCCAAAGCATGAAGCTGAAGAATTTTAAACATAATAATGCAAGAAACTAGAAAGTTTGCCCTGCGTCCAAATCGTCTCTTTTGAGGGACACCGAACTCATTGACCCTGGTGASCACAGTTGGAAAACAGGTATTTAACAAATAATAATAGCTAACAAAACCCTAATTTGTTACATTTGCCAGATTTAAGAAGGAAAATGCGGGGGATTTGTGCAYATATGTGGGCTTAAATGTAATATCAAAGTTTGTCTCCAGATGTTTTTTAAAATAAAGAATAAATGAATAAAACTGACAGCATACAATTTTCATGTTTTGTTCAAATGTGAGTGAGCAGCAAATCAAACTGTGACTCATCAAATTTCACAAGTTCTACAAAAAGTAGGGATTGAATCCCAAATGAGTCAAAATCATGGTTAGATTTGCAGATTAAAAATGTAAATTAAATTAGTGTTGAAAGCTTGTGTGAAACATAAAGACCAATAAATGTTCCTACCTCAAGCCCACCAACTGTCGGTTCTTCATCATAATCATAGATGACTTCAAAGTTGTCCTCGTAGTTTCCGTCGTCGTATGAATCCGGGTCTGATTGTCGGGCAAATCTGGGACTGGCTAACGCCGCTTTGAGGACGAAAAGTCCCAACACGAGACGCACAAGCATCCTCATAATCCACCTGGAGAGAAGTAGAGTTAAAAAGGAGGAAATCTATTTTGATTTCTTTTAAACCAAGTAGGTGATGAGGTAGTACTTAAACATACTCTGTCTTTTGAAACACGTTTTCTTTACAAGACCATGACAAACAGTACTGTTTTTCTTCAAATATCTCCAAAATATGAACATTTTTCATTTTTTTGCCTTTCATTACTTGTGAAGTAGTAAAAGGAAATGAAGTGACCAAGCATAAAAGTAGTGTCAATCCAAAGTATAGGGTTGTATAGTATTTGTGGCTGGTATCGGGCCACTATTCAGGGTATCGCTGTATTGTTATACAGTCAAGATAATTTTAAACCATAAAAACAGCCAACGTAAAAAAATGCAATAATACAAAAGCAACTATTGTCAGAAACAAGGATGTACTAGAGTATTTGGAAGACACCTTTACGTTTCTGCTTCCACAGAAAGTCGACAACATTGCCATCATAACCCAGCTGAAGACAGAGGTTTGACTTTGAGTCCYACCAAGGTCACTGATCTCATTACACAGGTGCTGACAGCTGAGGGATCCAAATACGAAGGCCTCTTTCTGCACTGAACCACAGTGTCACTGTTTGAAGGAGAAGCTCCCCTGGTTCAGGTAAGTGCCTCACTTTGGTCAATCAACAGGGAATACCAGAGCTTCTCTAGCACTGAATTAGGAGATGATTTTTGGAAAGTTGTTTAGGAGTGAAAGTTGACATTTATGATTAATAATAAGATTAGTCAGTTAATATGTAAAATGGCCCTACATCTTTAGCTGCTGGGCAAATTCTCGTCCATTTAAGATCAGGAAAAAACAAAGTTTCACTAACACAGAGGGGATGCAGTTGCCTTTTCATGGTTTAAAGTTTGAATTGTTTTAGGAAATCTTGCCATTCTGTTTGAGCTCTTAAACACTWCTTTCTCATTTTTATTACAACTGTTATACATAGGAGTACAGTCTCTTCACAAAATCGCTACAAAGAAGTTTACCCACTGAACAGGTGCGTTTCACGCTGCTATTGTATGATAAACCTACCATAGAAATAAAAAAAAGTGCAAGACTGTCTTAGCCGTGTGGATAAGGTTTCCATAAAATTGCCTGTATTTTCACCGAGACAAGTGTGTGGCTGGTGTTATCTCTTTGGTAACCTCCTTCAGTTTCCCTGTCCTCAGGTTACACTGACCTGCATGTTTCAGCTGTTTCCCTGCTTGAACACATCTGGTTAAGCCTATTGTTCATTAATGTGCTTCTGCAAAACCGGAGAAGTTTCGAATCAGGTCTGTTGAAGCTGGGACGAAGCTAAAACCTGCAGGACGGTGCAACCTGCCGGGACTGGGGTAACACTGATCCAGATAATGAAAGGAAAGCACAAAAAGCAGTTCAACTGTTAGTCTGTGTCTGTGTCATAGGGTTTTTCAGTGTAAAAGAGGCCGACTAAATTGGATTTTGGCAACAAGCGATTTGAAATTTTTTGTAAAACTTTAGCTAAATTCTTGGCAAAACAAAACCCAGACAAGAAAAATCTTTCTCAACATGCATTTTTTCCCTGAACATCCTGACCTAGAAAACAGCTGCTTATAATCTCATTCATTTCCTCTGCTGCACAGGCCTTGTGACTTATACTCCAAAGTGGGAAGCACTAATAAGATTAGCATACATTGATTTGTGCTTAATTAGCTACCCCGCTACAAACATTAGGGTTGACGWTTTATTGTTTGACAACACCACAGCGCAATGTGCCTGTATTCACAGCCTGCAGGTGTTACCACGTTGCAGCAGACGTTTGATAGCTTAGTTTAAAGAGAGTCCATTAGGCCAGGGCGAGGAAATGGAGAGCAGGGAGAGAGAGGAAGAAGAGTGCAACGAAGAGGGAGACAGAGACAAGATGTTGGCCCTCAGGGTTAGATGGAGCGAGCAAGGAGGGGGAAAAAAACTGGATAGGAGAGCGCAAGTAAGTGAGAAAAAGAGAGAGACAGGTTTTCCGAGCTAACCCCGACCCCTCACCCTTTACAGAGAGCCTTTATGAGGCCCAGTCGCCCTCCCTGTCTCAGCACTCAAACTCCAAATTCCACCGAGGTTTGTGGACAGGATGGCAGCGAGTTGCTGCTGCAAGGAAAAGCTTCATTCAGCAGTGATGGTGCTCAAACACACACAGACATATATTTACGCACACATTTGGAAAGACGTTTCCTTACACATCTTTCTTTCAGAGTGAGAAAAATGCAAAACCTCTGCTGCTATTTTTGGATTGAAAAAAAAAATGTCAGTCACAAATATATCCATAACATGATGGTTTTATTTATTCCAACCAGTCTTTGCACAGTCTACAACGTGAACCCAGTGCACTCTGCATTAAAAAGCTAAAGTTGGCATTGCTGCTGAAACAAACTTTCTATCAGGAGACGTCCAACACAGCTTGACTGAAAGGACTACACTGAAGACAGCACAGAGGTTTGCTTTTATGCAGGCCATCACAGCGTACAGTGTGTGGAAACTGTGTTTGTGTGTTGCCTCCGGACTGCCTCCTTGTTATGTTTGGCTACACACTGGGCATGCCTGATATGCTGTGATTCTAGCATTCCCCCTCAAAAACCACAAGCAAACCCGATGATGTCCTCTCGCTGCAGGTTGCAGAACAATATGGTGACTTTGCACCCAAAAAAACCCATCTTGTAAAAATCTCCCAAGTCAGTCCAACAAATGGCTTCACTGAGCGGCACATCATTTTTATACTGAAACACGTTTTAAGGAAAAACACCTACAACTTACCCAGCAGTGGAAAATGTGCGCATATCAAGATGTTACGTTCAGGAAAATGAAGACACAAAAGGTGCTACATAGGTAAATGACACCAAACACCAGTCTAAAACTCACCTGAATTACGTTTACAGAAGTTTTTGGCAATACATTACAATACAATCAATAATAATAACAATAATAATAATAATAATAATAATAATAATAATAATAATAATAATAATAATAATAATAATAATAATAATAATAATAATAATAATAATAATAATAATAATCCAGTGACTTGGCCAGATTTAAAACTCACAAAGCAAAACTAGGACTGAAATTAAATCTCCAACCAATTAGTAGTACAGCTCCTGTTTAAACCCCAAATGCCATTGCTTTTAAATAGGTCATGCACCTTTGTCTGTCTAATCCCTTGCACTAAAGATTGAGCATGAACGTTATGAACGCATTACGAACGCTTACCTCTGTCTCCTGCTTTCCCAAATGGTCCCTTCAGCCGTGATGGAGATGCTGAGGGCTCCAGGACTTTGCCAATGGTGAGAGGTCGCACAGGGTGGCTTGGATGGTGGGAGGGTGTGTGTGTGTGTGTATTTTTGTGTGGATGTGACAAGTGTCTTAGGTGTATGTGTATGTGTAGGTCTGTGTGCTCCGGTGGACCTGAGTGCCCTGCCGCTTATGTGCGAAGGTAGGCACTGAGGCTGATTGGACCGGAGCAGATTGCTTTTGGTCACTCTGAGTGCACCCACCCCACACTGTACACCCACATACACAAGACTTTCAAACAGCGCACACACATATCAAACACAAAGAGAAATGGAGAGCAAAGACCCCCACCACCAATGGGAAATAGTGTATTATCCCTTACAAGAGTATCCTTTATTTATTTAGGAGTCTAATCAGACCAAAATATTTGTCCCTCTTTTCCTGAGGTGAAGCTCTGGCATGTGTTACTTTCATGTATGAGGGGATCCTTGAGGCCCTTGTACACAATGGGACCTCTGTAAGGAGCCCCTGTTAGCATGGTGCTGAGAGGAAGTCCCAGCTCACAGGAAGGTCTCTGCCCTCCTTCCTTCTTGGATTAAACGGCTTTCTCTTAGTGTCGTCCCTCGCTCAGCGATGTGCTGGGTTCAGTCGTGATGGGAGTTTAGTGGTTTGACACACAGGAAAATTATCTGATCTGAGATTAGAGCCAAAGACATCCAGGGAAATTAGTTCTTTTGGAGTTCTGGATAGATTTATGTGTGCTTTTGAAGCGATCTGGCAGATGGTTTGTGATTAGTGTCCATTAAAAAAAGAAAAAAAGAAAGGAAAAGTAATTTTGTCTCAACCTGCCCACCTCTCCCAGTTGCTAATCTCATAGTAATTTGAGACTGTTTGATGAGTGAGAGGCAAAAGAAGCAGAGGGAAAGCTTAAAATCTGTCTGCACCTGCTATATGAGATAAGATTTTTATTCACTACTTTCCTTCTGTTGACTGTTTAGTCTTCCTTAGATAAATAACTTTTACTAACTGCTTTTTTATAATGTATGTGAATGTTTTTATACAGTATAAATGTATGATAAAATAAGTGTTCAATAGGAATAGACTGTATTAAATGAGAATTAATGCACTTAATTGTCCAAGAATAGCTAAACTAGTAAGTAGGATGGAAACTTAGTAAATAACATATCTTAAAAAAATATTACATGTAAGTTGCTTTTTGACTAAAATAACTTTGATTGTGAAAACAAGAAGACCACATAAAGGTAAATTTTCATTCAGAGAAGTTTTATTCACATTACAAACAGTTTTTAATTAACTCCCAGTTTATTCAGAAACAAAAGTTACTAGAAACAAAAACATTATTGGCAAGTGTTAGTGTTCTTTTGTACAAAACATGGAAAAAAAGAAGGTTGGTCATATATTCATCAGATTTTATGTTCTTGATTTTTGCTTACATCAAATAAAAAATAAATTACCTACAGTGTTGACAAGATATTTTTTGAAAAGGGAGAAAAAACTGGCACACAAGACTATCGGTTTGCCTTCAAGTCTACAAAAAATAGAGAATCAAAAACCTTTTGGTCTGTGAATTCAGACGTTTTGGCTCAGTCGAAAAGGTAAACTCAAATTCAGTCTTTAAAACTCACCAAATTTCATAAAAACATTTTATTTATTTAATCACACTGTAAGCTGTAACACATTTTGGTTCATAACTTCACATGTTTCTACTAACATAAGGCACAACTAGTATTCAATAAATGATCAGAATGGAAATTTTTTACCCTTCAGTACAAATGTTCAGATTTCTATCAAGTTCCATTTAAAAGGGAAGATTTTTATGATCAAACAATGAAAATGTTGTCAGTTTCTTTGACAAACAACAAATATGTGTGGTTTTACAAATTTCTGCATCAAATTCGGCATTCAAGTCCAGTCATCAATGGAAGGAAAGTTAAATTAGCTCATTTATATTGTTAATTTGTTATTTAGATAACGATTGACCTAAGGAGGCGGAAGCACATGACTACATCCCGGGGAATTGGTGGGTTGATCTCATTGCCGTCCAGTCGGAGGAAACGCAGCCGAGGCACGCTTTCGTTCTGCGAGCTGTCCAGAGAGTCGATGGAAACAGGACACATGTTGGAGCCATTCACACCTGTAAATGAACAAAAGGGACAAATTTGATAAGACTTAAACCATTATATCTTTGATTAGATGCAAAGGAAAACGATTTCCTTTTGTGAATCTACATGTTACAATACTACATCTTACTTGTGATCTTGTTGTGGTCTAGGTAAAGGTGTTCAAGGCCCGAGGGAATGATGGGAATCTCAGTCAACTGATTRTGAGACAGTTGCAAGTCTAGAATGCTGGAGATGTTGAAAACATCTTTGGGAACCCCACCGCTGCCAAGCTTGTTGTGGTTGAGCCTCAGAAATGCCATTTTGGGCAAACCTTTGAAGTAGTCAGCTGGGATATTCTCAATGTTGTTACCATCGAGGAAAAGCTGAGTGGTGGTGGGTGGTAGACCAAGTGGCATGCGACTCAGCTGGTTTTTGGCTAGATTGATCTGTACCAAGTTATTGAGACCTTTCAAGCTCACTTCAGTCACAGCATCGTCCATCAGCTTATTCCCTTGGAGGTCCAGAAGGTTGAGTTTCTCGAGACCAACAAACACACCCCCTGGGATCTTGGAGATGCGATTGCGAGAGAGACGAAGATGTTCAAGACTGGCTGGTAGGGGTGATGGCACTGAAGATAGGAGGTTATCATCTATGTACAGGTGTACAAGGTATGTCATTGCACTAAGAAAGCCTTCTTCTATTCCTTTGTCTGTGATCTTGTTACGGTTTAGGTTCACCCATCGTATTTGCGTTGCGTTCTTCAGTGCATCTAGTGGCAGGGTTTCAATCATATTGTTCTGCAGATAGAGGTACCATGTGTAAGGAGGAATTTGGGGGATACTCTTCAGACCTCTATTGTCACAGTAGACAGCACGAGGAAAGTTTTGGGGGCAGCTGCACTCTTGAGGGCAGGATTGGATCTGGGCAATAAGCTCCTCATAAGGCATGTCTTGACTGAAGACAAGCCCTACCAGGCACAGGACAAAGAAAAGCTTCTGGGAGAGGGCCATTTTCCTGCTTGACCTGTGGTAGAAAAATAAGGAAAGAGTATATTATAGTCAAATACAGTTGATTTGAACATCATAAAAGCAAATTCGCAGTAAAGCCATAGGATAATGTACAAAAAGCTCTGAAATATGGAAAACACAGAAATTAGATTCACTACAGTTATGACCTTCACACTTATTATTCGGTAGTCATGTTAGGGCATTTGATGTTGTATAACTTTAACAGAATCAAGTGTTTGTGAAAGCACACTGTCTCTAAAATTAACCCATTTCAATGGTAATTTCATCATCAGATAAAGAGGGTCAGACAGATTAGGCTAAAGAGACAGGATGTAAAGCCAGGTCAACTTTAATTGCATTAGAGAAGTCACAGCGTTTGCCCATCAGTTTTAAAGTCGAGCGGAAATGGGTTCACAAGTGATGGAGGGATGGAGAGAGGATTGGATGGACAGATATATACATGTATATGCCTAGCCCTCATTAATGAGGGTGTTGCTTTGGTTGGTGGTGGTGGTGAAGAAAGAGTTGAGTTGAAAGGCAAAGCTTTCAATTTACTGGTTTGTCTACATTCCCTCTCTCATCTAGGGTCATGAGGTAAGGATCATGACTGGAAAAATGAGAGCCCAAATTCAAGGGGCTGAAATGGCATTCTTTGTAGGTAGGTCGTAGGGTCAGACTTAGATAGGGGGTGTGTGTATCTTCTCTGGCTTGGGAACATTTTAGGATCTCTGAGATGGAGCTAGGCAGGTCCGCTGGGAAGAGGAATGTCTGGTTTTCTTTCCAGGACCTGTTGCCTCTGTGACTCAACTACAGATAAGCGGTAGAAGATGGAGATTTTAAAGTGCACACTGTTTAGAAGGCTGTATGACTGCAACACATAGTAACAATCAAATCCTGTTCTACTTATGTTAGTTTGTACTTGAATTGATGTGTGAAAATAACCTCATATGCAATTTGTTGAGAATGCAGTTCAAAGAAAATTAATGCAAAAAATAGCAGTACAATGGAAATGATTTACCAAAATTCCATGAAAAAAAAATTCATAGTAAGCACTTTCATCTTTTTTCAATCCATTTTTAAAGCTTCTACTTGGTTTGTCTGAGCTACCATCTGGGTTTTGTTTAAATTCTTGATGCACTCCATGTTTGTCTGGAACTCATTTCAAGCAGGCCAAGCTTTTCCATGGACGGGTGCACTTCAAAGACAAAACTGGATCACCTTTTTTCAGAGATGTATCGCCAGTCACAGAGGCTAAAGCTATGCATTCATCACTTAGTTTGCACAACATTGTGAAATACTATACATGTAATATCACACTTCAAGAGCGACACTGGAACTCATAGTCAAACACCATCAACCAATACAATAATTTCAGTGCATCAACAAATGTGTTTCCATCAATGAATTATAATGCACAATTTGAGTGAAAAGGCGTAATGTAAAAAAAATTATATAAAATGTCCTCAACGACAAACAAATGGAAGCATGTCTTTTCCCTTCAGCAGGCTTTCTTACCTTTGCACTCTATAAGTGTCCTTTTGCGGAGTCCTTTCTCAGCAAGTTTTCTAGCAAGGTCCCAAATGACAAGGATGTGTCTCACGTCCTCGTATTTGTACCATCAGCTATTTCATTCAACATGTGCCAACCGGACACCAAAGCTTCTCTAAGCCAATCAGATGGCCCAAACACGAGGGGTCATAAACTTAAAGAGGAGCGCAACGTATTTTCAGTCCTTCAGACATGGCCCACTTTATGCAGGTGTGTCTGTTCTTAGATTGCTAAGTGCCACATGCACAATCCTTGCCCAGCTACAAAGTGGCATGATTGATGTCAACAAACAAATCCCCATGCCCTCTGCTAACCTTTGTGCTAATTCTGGGCTTCATTTATCAGTGGTGGGATTAGGCTCAATTACTCTGCAAATCAAACAGTTTAACTGCTTACAGTCAACAGGGAACCCAAAGTATCCAAATACCAACCATGAGATTGTGAGATCCAGACAATTGTATTCAAACACACTTACACTCAACTAAATTTATCTGCCAATGCTAGAGTCCAGGACTGAATGCAAGATCATAGGATTATTGCAAGACGGGGATGCTTATCTTTTTATTTCTGTTTAACTTATATTGGATAGTTTTAAGAACATCAAAATGGTTTTCCACAAAGTCCATTTCTGTCTCTCATAAAGATAGTACAGTCTTGATTTATATCTGATTTGGACAAGCATTTGATCTCAACATGTGTGAATTTATGGCACACGGTTTAAAGCTTGTGCTAAAGCATGAAGCACGAAGATGACACAGCCAAAGTGCAAAACATTTCCGTCAGACATAAGAGGTCATGCTTTTACAGGGGTGAGGGCTAACGTAAGCTGAGGAGATTACATTACAGAATACTTTTGCGGAAGCTAGCTAACGTCAAGACTTGTGACCTTGGACCGTGCATGCATGAGGCTGCGATGATGACGGCAAAGGCTTGAATGCAACAGGATAATCCCTGCTTATTTGTGAGGACAGGAGTAATGCCTATCCAGGATCAGCGATGCAAGCCCATTAGAGCTCCTCCAGTGTTTTACCAAGTGCATTTAAGCACAGTTATTTGTTGTTTTATAGTATGGGAGAATGCATAATGAATGTTGAACATTAGGACAAACTAAGATCAGCCAAGATGTTCAACGTATACACTACTTTAGGTTCTATATAAACCTGTAAACTTTCAAAAATACAATGGCTATTTGCTGGAGCTAACACACTAATGAGAAAACTGATGGCCAATGATGACATTTTGCTTTGGGTGGTAAAATCTGTCTGATGTTATTTTTCTTTTTTTATGGACACATTGAAAGTAAAACACACAAGTTGTTACAAATGTGTATAAAATGGAAAAACAACTGTAAAGATTTGAAAAATACTCATGCAAACATCACATTTCTTTAATTTAGAATGTTGGAAAAGCATTCCACAAGTTAAAAAATGATTCAGAGCAAAATTTGATGCTGAAACTGTTGATTTAGGGCTCCACGGATCTCTGTAAAATGGAATGCATATTTACTGAAAACAAACAGAGAACGATCTGCCTGACAGACTAAGGAGAAACACATGCAGAGGAATATACAGAGCTAATTTCCTGCCTGGGTCTTTTATACTGAGCCAGCCATTATAATTACACAAAGACTTTTATTTGCCCTGGAAGAGTTTGCAGGATTGTTTCCAGTTGAAGGCTTTACTAAAATCCCTCTCATGACTTTGAAACTTTGGTGAGTCAGCTTTACTGTAGTTACTGTATTCAAAGCTGAGAAAAAAACTTTTATTTATGAATAAATCTACTGTTTATGTGAGGAAATGATAGGTTTGACAGTAAATGTGAATTACCAAGAGTTTTTTTTTTTGCTTAAAAAAGAAATTAACCTGAAGAAAATAGTTTATTGGGAACATTTTCTTCAAAAATACAAAAATATCTTCTTTTTTGTAAGTCTTCTTATCTAGCCTCAGCCAGGAAACAGATGCTGGCAAATTGAAATATTTTCAAAGATTGGGATCAAATCAGATCGCACTATAAAAGAAAATTAACCAGACCATGGTCTGAGCCATTCATCCCTCCTCTCTTCAACAGTATCCTAAAGAAATACAAAAAATCTTCTTTTTACCTGCCTTTTCTTTACTGATGTGCGTGATAGCCAGTTGAAGCCCGCTCTTCCTCTCAGTGATTCGCTTCGATGATCGTCTGAAGCAGTTGGTACTCCAACCAGCCTTGATCTGTTCGATTCTCTCAAAGCTGCACCTTGCACACTGGTGGAGCCATGAGGATGGAGCACATGATGTTTGGTGGGAGTATGACTTTGTGACATGGGGATGTCCAGCAGTCCCCACACCTCTTTCGCTTGGTTTGCTCCACTTTATAGTAAAAACCGAAGAGCTGCAGCTCCACCCAACTTAACCATTTGGTCTTCTGAGGGAGTCATAGCCTTCACCTATGAGTCTGGGAGATTAGTGAAAGGCCAACCTTTTATGACTCATTTCAACACAGGCCTAAGGGAGTGTTATTAGCCTGACAGGTGAGGTTAGAGGACCCATTGAGGAGTTTGAACTCAGATATTTATACCCAGTATTTTTAGTGGAGCATTCCCTTTTTTTGTTACAACATCCCTCCTGTCAGAAATGTTACTGTTGAGAACATCTACATTGGGGATCACTGCCTGTAAATCTGTCTTTGCAAGACTTTAAGGTCATAGTTAAAGTTAGTAGTAAGGTTTATGATGACAAACATAAACATATTACTTTCTTAAGACTGATACATTGTAATTCAATGCAATTGGAAATTTAAGTTTATTTAGATTTTTATGATTATGTTTACTTGTGTTACTTGTGTTTTCATTTTACCTGTTTGTGTTTCCTTTGTGCCATCTACCCTTTCTCCTCAGCCAGTCTCTCTCCTCAGTCTTACCCTGCCCAGTCACACCTGCTCCTGGTTTCATTAGTCACAGCTGCAGCCACACTTCCCATCAGCCTCAGTCCTTTTAAACCTTTTGTTTATCACTACTCACCAGTAGAGCATTATGCATTCTCATGCTAAGTCCTGTTTTCTCCTTGTGCGCCTCCCTGTGTTTGCAAGTTTTGGGTCCAAACCTCCTGCCAGCTGTGACATGCATATTGGTTAATCCATGTACTTTGGTTCACACTGAACAAAACACACAACCTGAAGCATTATGTGAGATTTTGGCATAGATATTTCTATTAAGCTTGAAGCAGTCTTTTGGATGGGAGGGGGAAAGGAACAAGAAACTAGAGGAAAAAGTCCATTCAGTTTGCCTCAGACAATAAAATACAATCATAAAAACACATGAACTAGTGGGACACAAGTAAARCCTGCAGGATAGTAGCCCTTAAAGACCAGGATTGGTACCTTTTTGTAACATAAAGATTAGAAGATTAGAAGAAAAGTTTACTCAAATGCTAAAAAAAATCCTAAAAGCTCATCTGAAGAAAATACGTATTTAAGGTCATATCAGATTATTTTACACGCACAAGGTGTAAGATAAAAGAATATCTTCAGAGAAAAGTGGAGAACAGATCAGGGTAATGATGGATGGACACATAATCTGAATACAAACATAGAAAACAGCTGGAGATGGTCTGGACCGAAGGATGATCCTTGAAGTTGGGCCTCCAGGCTGCAAAAGCTGATTGTAGTTTCACCTACCATCTCAAGTGGGAAGATTTGTGGCTTACGGCTTTATGAAGGACTTTATTGTCTAGACACGGGCAGCAGGTGCTCTACTCTGGATTTAAATAAGGGCAACACCAGAGGAAGAGGAGGAAATGGTACTAGATTAGAAATTAGTATAAAAGTGATGGTATAAAAACATGTAAAATGTGCTTAATGAAAATTATTAAGGAAGCATGTTGTATAAAACAACCCAGTATTTCATTACAGGAGGGAAAGGTATCACTGCAACAACTTATAACAAACTGCTGATTTATATATTCATTAAACTGGAAAATCTAAGTTCAACATCCTATTTTTTCCCCTGGTTTTATAATTAAAAACTCAAAGATTTAGTCCTTTAGCTTATGTTTATGTGAATGTGTGATTTTAAGATACTCTTGACAAAAAAATAACAGTTCAGCACRTTCAGCCAGTATTACTCAAGTTCCTGCTATTGAACAGGTTCACAAAGATTATATTGATACAGCAAAAGAGAGTGAGTCAATAGCAAAAAAAAAACAAAACAAAAAAAAAAAACTTAAGGACAACGAAGGTCCAACCATCACAGATTCCTAAACAATCATGTTAGTGTCCAGTTAAGGATGTTTTTAATCCTAAGGACGGTTTTTAACTAAATGTTTTAAATCACAGCAACATTATTAGGTGCTCAAATTCTCAAAACAACAAGAAAAGGAGTTTACCAGCTTTAACARACTTTAAGATCTGACCAGAAATCAAATTGTCTGCTTTTTCTACTCTGGAAAAAAGCTATAAGTGGACATTCCTGTTGTGAGATTAGTACAAACAAGTAAAATTATGTTATTCCTGCCTTTATTTTTCACAGTTGTGTTTTGTGCACACATTAAATCTCATAAAAATGATTCAGTTTTTCTTGTTTGTGTTACTAATCTGGTTTGATTTGATTAAATGTAATTAAATTAAATGTTTTTATAAGTAGATCTAGTCTGAGTGTATCTTTAGTAACCTGTCTGGTCTGTGATTAGCTTACACCTGTTCAGTGTTTCTCACCTGCAGCCAATCAGCTAATCAAGACTTGGTTACTATTAGACCCTCTTCTTATCCATTCTGTTCTTTTGTTTTGCTTAAAAAAAATCAATATAACTGCAGGGATTTCTTTTTGTTGTTTAATTGCCTAAAATATTAGTTAGGAGCTGTTTAGTTTATATTTATAGGTCTTTTATTTTACCACTTGATTCTCTTTTTGTTGAAACATTATAAATCCGTCTTGTGACACAAAAAAGCCACTAATCACAAATCAAACTTTTTATAAAGCATGCTTTACAAATAGCAGTTTTAAACAAAGAAGTCAAGAAAGAAACAAAACATTCAAGGTTTTGGTAGACCAAGTTGTTTTTTTTATCTATCTTTTATACTAAGTTTTCACAAGCAACAGAAATTCTTATAGAAGGATTAAAAAGTGATATACAAATCTGATACAAAATTCATTCAGCCATATTTGGTTGTCTCACAGGCAATTCAAGTCAAAGGAAAGAAATAAACTAAAAACTACAAGCATTAATCAAATATGAATAAAACCAGTTAACATGACAACTGCGTTACAATGAAGGCACTAAACTGCAAAAGCTTTTACTGGTAGTTTAACTGAGACATTGGGTGCTAGAATAACAGCAGAAAATCACAAACAAATATCTCGTAACATTCTAAGGTATACATATGGAACTTTAGGTACAATTGTTTACATGAACATTTTTTTATTTAGTCTGTGGTTTGTTTGGTTATTAATAAAAATGACAATTGGGCTTCAAGCAGTTAATGCTAAAGATTAAATGCAAAGCAGGCAGACATGGGACTCAAACCACAGGTAACTCACGTTGTTGTAAAACCAGTTTGATACATTCAAGATGTTGAAAGTACGACTATCTGCACTGCCTTTTTTTTCCTTTTACATTTGCTCACATTACTAAAGTATGCAGTCCTCCCCCTGTTGGCTTTTTGCACAGCAATTATTTAATAACTAAGCCAACACACATGCAACATACTGAAACATGCAACAAAATGACACTTTGACTAACAAAATAAAAAACAAAAAAAGCCATAAAAATCATGTCTCTGTTGTGTCTGTATTGAGCAAATTTAAATCCATTTGGAATGTTTGAAGTGTGTAGGCATGCACGTTTTAACAATAGAACCAAAACATTTTAATTAAATCTATTGCAATATTTTCTTTGTTTCCATAAAAATGCTTGTTTGGCTTTATCTGTTGTACACATTTCTGGATATGTTACATATAGAATTTGAAAACAGTTGACTGGATATCCCCATCGATTGCATCTTAAAACAAATCTCCACGATCAACATGAACAATTTTACATACATTATACTTGTGTCACAAGTGTGCGGTCATGCTTTTTTTCACGGCAGCAGAAAGCGGACTCGTCGATCAGAGCGTGGTCCTTTCTATTCAAACATGATGTCCGAAGCTTGACGCAGGCAGTTGACAGATTCGGAGGGCATGCTGCTGTGTGTGACRTTATTGCCGTCCAGACGCAGGTGCTTGAGGCGCGAATAGTTGAGGGGTCCAGTGAACTTGCAGAAACTTGCCAGGTCAAACTCTATAGGTGATGAAAAACAAAATAGAGATGGAACTTGCGTGAGCTGGTGGACATAAAGATTTTGACTAAATACGGAGCAATATATTTACATTTGACATGCCTGAGTCATCCCAAGTAAAACATTTATCTAGTATGGCTTAAGTTCTTCATGCTGAATGACAACCCTGCTATGAAGTAAGAAAAAAAAAAAAAAACAAATTCATTGGATCTGGCAACATGCATGCATTATGTTCACAAGTTGTAATATGGTTGCTTGGCGTGACCTTAGCCTTCACTCTGACAAGATCCCAAAGCTGTCAGTGATGGATGAAAGGGATTCTATGATCATGTGCTGCCTAATGTACCTAATATGTGACACTAAAATGTACATGAAAGCATCTCAGGGATGCAGAAATTATCGAAAAAGTTTTTATTTTAGAGTACTAAGAGCACAACTAAACAAGGTTTTCCAAATTTGCCATCCAGCCATATTCTACAATAAAAGGTTGTGTTGGTCATGGAGAGAGTACAGTGTGACCAGAGCCTTATTGCCTTCAGAAATGAAAGAAATAAGCTCACCAGTGTGTTGAGCTCTAAGTGGTATATGTGGTTTTAAYRAAAAAAGAGATCCATTCATGAATAAAGTTATTGAAATCTATGTATYTGTCATCTGCTCAAGAGAGGTGGGTGAGGAAAGTAAAGGCAACTGTGCTTCACTCCAAATCCTTAAAGGCCACTTAAAATCTGTACGGTATGTTCCCTGAGTCTGGCCCACTTTTCAGAAACCCAACCATCGTTGGAAGATTGTATTTTCCTAATCAAGATTGAACACTTTCAAGTCTTGTGCAGCATATCATTTTCACTTGTACTCCACTAAAGCAAGTCTATACAATCCTAAATCAAGAGCCTGCATTTGCTGGTGGGTGTAGGTGTCACTTTAAATCATGGAAGACCTCTCAGTGCTAAGTTTATGGTTTCCCTATAAAACAAAATAAATTATACCAGCAATCACTTGCTCGTATCTGTTTATCATATTCAGCTGATTTGCTGCCGTCATTCATCACATTTTGATCTCGAACGTGAATTAACTTTGTTTTGTTTACATGAGTCATGTGGTTTAGACACTGGAGCTGATATTCCACTGGGGATGGAGCACAAACCACGCCCACCTGTTTGTATTCTTTTGCTGCAAATCATGTGCAGCCACTTCCCTTCTATAGATGGCCCCTAAGGCCAAACTAAGACAAACAAGCCGAGAAAGTAAAACAATATTGATGTTTGTTTTGATGAAATGGGACGGAGATTACTGTTATTGACATTTTAAAAATTAATGAGTCGGGGACCAGAAAGATACAAAATTCTTGTACAAAATTCRAATTCTTGATAAAAAATTACATCGTCTTTTTCTCTAAATGTGCAGCTGAGTCCCTGTATATGACGGAATTATAAAACTTTAGACTAATATGTTGAAATAGTGTAAAAATAACTCAACAGATTAGCCCTTGCAAAGAACATATCAACTCCACCCCCATATTTCCATTAAAAAAAAAAATCACTTTTTTCTGATTGGCTGGATTTTGCAGAAGATTTTGCATGAAATGGTTTTTTCAAATATGTGCAATTTTTGATAAGGTTCATAAAGTCAAGCAACTCTTTATCCCTATATATTTAAGGCTAATTTCTTTTTAAATAACAGGAGTATTATCAATATCCAAAGCGACATAAAGTACAATAGGACATCTTTTTGGTAAATTATCTATATATTGTGGAAAACTTTCTTCAAATGACTGCCCGTAAAGTGTTTTTTAACTTGGCAAAAATGTAAGAAAATTTATGTTTGGTGGATTACTTATTTGTTGTAGCAATGCTTCTGGGCAATAAGTCTTGGAAAGCCTTTTAATTTCCCCTTTTAAAAGGTGCCACATTTGTAAGGAACATGCATTTATGGGATGAGCAGTAGAGCTGTGTATATGGGTGGCACACGTGAAAAATTAGCCAAATCTTCTCTGCCAAACAGCTTATTTTCCTGTTGCTATTGACACTTGTTTTGGGCTTCTGGTACCCACAGGTGCTGCCAATTAGGTACTCATTTTGCCAAGAAGCATTGTTACAACAAAGAAATTATCTACCAAACACAATTTGTGTTAAGTATATATAAACTAAATAGGACCATGTTAGCTGAGGGTTTGTAGTAAAAACATTGAGAGGTTTTGACTCACAGGGATTATCATATTTAATTCACTAATTGAGGCTGTCTTCAGTGAAAATGTCCAACATTGTACCATAAATAAAATAAAATATGACAAAAACAGATCCTCTTTGGAATTAATGCTAAAGCCTTTGTTTGAAAGTGTTTCGGAACTATCCCCAATCCTACTTGCTTGATCCAAAGGAAATTAGACTTTTGTTTTATTTGGTTCTGAAAACCAGTATGCCATTTTAAAACAATGAGTGAAAACCAACACTTACTGTTGATCTCATTGGCCTGTAGGTAAAGTTGCTCTAGCTGCTCGTTGACTTCAGGGATAGACTTCAGCTTGTTGAAGGAGAGATCAAGCTCCAGCAGTGAAGTCACGTTGAATGCTCCAGAGGGGATCCCGGAGTCCTGCAGCTTGTTGTGGGAGATCCTCAGGTACCGAAGGGAGGGCAGCTTTTTCAAGAATCCCGCTCCAACTTTATCAATGTCATTGTAATCAGCATAGAGGATTTCCAGTGAACTAGGGAGTCCGATTGGCAGCTTCTTCAGCTTGTTATGGCTCACATCCAGGGACAGCAGCTTCTTCAGCCCCTTGAATGCGTCTCCAATGCTTTCAGAGGTCAACTCGTTCTGCTGAAGGTTGATGGAGGTCAAGTTCTCCTTGTCAGACAAGAGTCCGGAGGGGAACTTGGACAGCTTGTTGTGCATCATCTGTATCTCTTCCAGGGCCTTTGAAGGAGGGATGACTGGCTCTGTGATGTTGTTGTTGCTAAAGTACAGCTTCTCCAGAGCTGTGAGTTTGTCAATTGTGCCCTTTTCTATCTTGGCATTCGTAATTTGGTTTTTGTCAAGTATCAGCCAGCGCAGCGTATCGGTAACATTATCAAACACTCCCGCCTTGATTTCTTCAATCATGTTCTGCTGGAGATACAGATATTTGATCCCAGTTGGAACTATAGGGACGGACTTCAGCTTGCGGCTGTCACAATACATGGCACTTGGAAAACTGATGGGACAATCACATTCTTGGTTACAGTTGGGGCCTGATGGCCCATGCAAGGACCCCGGCTGGTAGTCGTAGTCGTAATACTGGAATTGGGCCAGATTGACCAGAGCAGCCAAGATGAGTATGTGAGAAAACATGGCTTCTGCAGAGAGGAAGAGGGGAAGAGAGGGTGGTAAGAAATAAGAAAAATAAGGCTAGAGGCCCACCCAGAACAACATGATGCTAACTCAAACACCCTGTTATAAATGGAAGTCTAATGAAACCACTATTTAATAAGCAAATATTAGTATAACTGGTGAAAATATGCAGGTATCAAAGCTTTCAAACCTGCCCTGGTGCATGCACAATGGCCACACCCACTTTTTAATGATTTTTCCAAGTAAATGAGCTTCCATATCAAACAAATGGAAATACATAAATGCATAATTATTATCAGTGTTGTTTCATAAATACAGATTACTTTATAACCAATAATACAACATATTCCAATATATATCCCTCCAATGTTATTTTGTTTGTTGCCTTTAATGTGTTGCTGAGCCTTTTATTTGGTAGGATAATGATTTAAATCTGGATTACTATAGTCCAAAGAATTGTTAGTTCAACATAATAGTTGTATATCATCAACCATGCAGAGGATGTATTCAGTTTGATTACTTCCAGACCCATGAAAAATGCAGAAAGACCAGGATCCAAAAGTGTTCCAAATCATAAAAGGCATCTGTATAAACCTGTAAGCTCAAGGCTAAGCCATCAGAATGCACATAATTCATCTCACATATTCTTATTTCATGCACAAGTATTTTTGGCTGGTGTAGCACCAGCCCATGCCCCAGAGCTTCAGCGCTTCCGTCCAGAAAAACAGAAATCCGGCAGAAGATTCAAACAGGAAATTTCTCATCGGCGCAAAGCTTACCTGTGCCGCTTTCTTGAACCAAAGGCCAGGAGGTAAGAACAGTGTGGTGTTCAAAAAACTGGAGGTCTCTGGAGAAAATTTTAGAGACAAAGAAGGAGAATAGTGGGAGGAGTGAGGAGGGTTGATGGAGAGACCGACAAAAAGAGGGGAGGGAAGGGAGACGACGGGAGTCAGGGCGTGATCAGTCGGAATCCAAAAAGTGCCATTGCCTAATCAAGAGCAGGTGCAACAAAAGCCTGCACAGTTCCTCCTGTCCACTTACAAATGTTTCAAAATGTGTTTCTTTTGCATTCTTATGAGTGTGCACCCCTCCCCACATAATTATTTGTGAGCATGAAGCTCGGAAAGTCTGTCCTGGAAAAATCTAAACGAGGAGGAGACAATTTGTGGAAAAACCGTAAAAGTAATTTCTGTCTGCCAGTTGAATTGATGAATCTGTTAAACAGACTTAGGAAAAAATGAGAAGATAGGTATCAAAACAAACCAAGGCAGACTTGCACAATACTTGAGGGAAAGTTATTTTCCTCTGGTTTAGACCAGAAAAAATAGACAATGGCAAGTTGAAGTAGATCCAATTGGTCCCATATGCATCACAAATCATACTTTCTATTTTGTGCCCTACACTTTTATTTTCTTAGTTAAAATCCGTTATCTGCAGGGTGCAGAACTACTTTGCAAATATTAGCGAACCAGTGCAACTTGTGCCAAAATGGTGTTTACTGAAATCCTTGGGGAAAGTGAAGAACAGTAGTGGATAAAATGAACAAATCTTTCTTTCATGTGTTGGATTTCCATCACAACACTGATGCTTACTGAGAGCTGACACCTGGGTTTCATTGTTCACAGTGCAGTCTGCTGCTCTGCACATTCTCAGGCACCATTTTAGATGCATATTCCATGTGTGGAAAAGTCCATTTTTCTTCACTTTTGCAGACTTTCTAAAAACTGGCAGACATCCTATTCATCCAAAACCATCATAATAAAAAGAGTCTTTTATTTTGTCAAAAGCTCTCACACCTCAAATTAGACACTTTGGACTTCAACTCTATATTGGTTTTATAGATTACTTTGGTTTTGAGGTGCATTTTTTAGACATTTCCTTAGGATACTAGTCTACTTGTTGCATGTTTTATTAATGGAGCAAAAGTCTAACTGATTATTACAATGCACATGAAACACACGTTGGGTTATACCAATTGCCTATCCCTGGCCTATGAAATTGGTTCTTAAAACTCTGCCTTTAGCTATTGGAGTTTATTGTTGTCTGTTGTTTGTGAAATATCTCATAAACCACTAAACAGAAATTGGTGGAGCTCCCAAAGGAATGTTCAGTAAATTTGCAGCTCCTCAACATTTAGTGTCAACCCAGTTTAAAATGACCACCACAGCTAATTGACTTTATTAAACACACAAACAAATGTCTGTATTGAGTTGATTTTCATATGGAAGAACCTGAGAGAAATATCATATTTGTATCACGCATATCACGATTTACTAGTAAGAATGTCTAGAACTCCTCCCCTTCTCTGCAAAAGGCAATTTTAGTTTAAAAAGTGACACCCTACAAGGATGGTTAGACTTTTACTAGTTAAACTGGAAATGGGAAGTTGAAGCACATCCGCGTTCACATGGAAGTGTTACATCGACTTCCAGCTCTGCTTGTTCTGTTGTGTTTCTTAAGTTTCTAAGTTCATCAGTTTCAGCCAGTTAATTATTTTGGTTTAAACTCTTTTTATTATTGCTTGAAACAGCTGATGGGAAGATTCAGCAAAACTAAAGCATTACAGATGAAGGTCAAAACACAAGAGCTGAAGAAAACTGTGAAAGTGTGTCGTTTAGTTTGATCGTTTTATAATTTCTTTTAATAACCTACATTTACCTTAATTGATTACATGCTTTTGATATCTYTGTGCTCTTTTATATAAAGTTTGTAACTGAGCTTTTTGCATTTTTTGTGGTTTAGACAAAATTAACATTTACACCCATCAAGAGACAGTTCAAAAATATTTATTTCTTTGAGGTTTCTTTGTTAGAATCGCTGTGTTTCAGTTTGACACATGCTTAAACTGTTCCAGACAGTACTTTGAGTAATGTCGGTGAATCAGACATTTTGTCATTTTTGCAACGTCCCTGTGCTTCTTCTTCTTCTATTTTTTTTTAAAGAGTCAGCTTGGTGTTTGTGCTATGCTGTCATGTCCTTTCCATCAGCCCAGACGCTGGCATTCAGAAAAGATTTCCTAATACRGACGGCCCTAAAATGTGACTTGCATAATTTCAAAATAAAAAAAAAGTTTGTTTTTCAGTTGGATTTTTATGCAAGTTACAATACGTAGAATAAAATATATACAACATGTTTAAATGAAAGCTTTATTTATTGTTAACACTTTTCTTTAACGTGAACTCACAATTCTTGCACATTTATAAGATTACTGTTTATAAATTAGCATCACATTCTTAAGCTATATGGTAAAGAGCCTAACATTTTCAAACTTGTCAAGAGTCCTTCACAAGAATTTACATTTACATTTATAATATGGTACTAATTCCTCCCCACCCGAGTGTTATACAATATGGAGTTTGGACCAACCCCAACCCCTACAACTAACATCATGTCAGCATGATGAAGCAGAAAAGAACATAGAGATTAACTCATGATCAGAGAAAAATAACAAAAAAAAAMMCCCTTTTTTTTGTGCTATCAAAACAAACCAAAAAGTCAGAAGTTTTAATTGTGGCTCCAGTTTTTGTGCAACGTTCAAAGCCCTGGACATGTGAACATATATTTTGAAAACCATGGCTTTGCTGTGGCTCTGCTTCTTGTTCTCACGCAAATATGGTTGTTGGTGCCTGAAAAAGAGAAATTCAGCAGAGGAAAAACTTTAGTTTTCAAAGTGGGGATATTATTCAAAATTGACTTTTTGAGCTTTATATCATATCATTCCCTCATCAAAAACATACCCAGAGTGTTGCTTTGACTCATTCACACATGTTTGAGAAATCCTTGAATCTCCTGTGGTAGCCATTCGGAGCTGCCTTAACTTGCTGGTACAAAGCTCCGCCCATTTACACAAAGCTCCTCCCAGGAGCTCATTCTGCAGCCAGGCTCCCGCCCCACAGAGCACCCCTCCACCAAAGCATTGTTGTGAAGTGGGAGTGTCAGAAATGGTAGGAGGTTCTTAAATAGACGGAGGCCAATTTCAAGATGTTTAGATAGATTTGATGCAAAGACAAATTAATTTTTTTAATATGTATAAGATTTTTATAACACCTGAAGGTAACATAGTGAGATAGATTGTGGTATAGAATTGAACTGTGGGCCTGGAAAATACACAATACCCCCTTTTTAAAAATGTCTTCATATTAAAACCCTTGGCTGAGACACAAATGTCCTACATATTAATCTGATGATGTCTAATTGGTTCACAAAACCAAAAATTAAACCAAATACACATATTTTGATGGTTAATGACCCAATGCAGTTTTCTGATTGTTGCTGAGTTTTTGCTCCTGATCTTCCACAGTGTCTGGGTGAGATACTGTATTCCTACCAACAGAAGAGTAAAACATTGTTATAAATATGCACAATAGCCCTACTGGCTTGTGAAAGCTACTCTCCATTTCAACAGCAGGCTCACACGTGTTCAAATGTGAAAATGTTAATTGACCAATCATAGCTAGTTATGAGGTATAAACATAATAAGGCTGATGATAGCATCTAGCTGTAGATGTTATAACAACCAATCAATGTTTAGATTGCCTGCAGGTCCACCCCTCCTTTGGAAAAGAGATCTTAATAGGATTTGCCTGATTAAATACGCGTTAAAGAAATAAAAGGAATAAATCTGCACCATACTGATGCTTTGTATGAAAATGAGCTCCTGAGCTGCATTAGAAATTCGTCCAACCAAGCCTAAACACTTCATTCTGCACTCCACACGGTTATCTTGTGTTTCTTGTGTTTTTTAAGCTTATCTGCTTTTTCTTTTTAATGGTTATGGACCACCAATCTATSAAGCACAACAGGTAAACTGACTAAATCAGGCACGACCTGACTGACCCAAAGAGTTCATGGTTGTTAACCTTGTAAGCTCCTGTTTCTGACAAAGGAAATAAATTATGAGCATGTGTTGATGCTAACTAATCTTAGAGGACAAAAAACATCCAGTGGAATGATGGTGAAATACCATTTTTTTGTTTTTGATCTTGTTCCTATTTAAACTAATTTATCTATTCTGCTTCTGTGCACAGTGTATTACGAAAGAAGAAATACACTTTACAAGTGGAGCACAGATGCACATGCTTTGTCAAAGGGTGCACATATGGAGATCCAAGCGAGCATGTTAGCAAACAGGATATTCTCGGACCTTCTTGGCGCAGATGCACAGAAGCTTCTAATAAAATCTCAGACAGCACCCAGACACCACCTTCTGTTCCTGCCGTGTGCTCGTGTGGTAAGTCCTGCGCTTTAAACCGAGACTCATCCATGTGCCCGCCAAGTGATTCTCTCACCTCGTGTCTCATGGGCTCCCATGTGCTGCAGGAGTGACCCAGAGCTGATTAAAATCAACAAGAAGAGCTTCTTAACGCAGAAGACATCTGCTTCTTTTTGCTAAAAAAATAATGAAAAATCACAGAAACAACCTCATTCTTTGGCTTCAGAGTTATCAAAATTAGATGAAGTGCATTGTTTGTTTTTTATAAAACATATGTGACTCTGCAGGGTTTGACACATGCACTGTTGTTTGGAGGATTGGGGACTTCAATGTCACATTGTGGACAAATATAAGTACAGGTGTTAAAGTGTGATCTCAGTTGGATTTGCACAAAAAAAATCACCCTAAATGTGATACATCTGCTTTTTCTTACTTGCAGATCGTCTGTTTGGACAAAGCTAAGCAGCTCAAGTTACTTCGATTGCATAAGCACCACGGTACAAAACAGACACGCACACGTGCACACGCAAAAAAAAAAGAAAGAAAAAAAAACACACTCAGTGTGCAAATGTGATTTCATGAAACTGACACCCAAAGCCCAAACGATTCTTCTTGAGCTTAGTATGCATAAACTGAAGCTACCAAAGATGCAGAAACACACAGAAATGTTGGCAATAAGCCTGAAGCAATAAGAGTTTGGAAGACAGACGTCTGTTCAGAACATCAACTTGGACTCTGTGTGTGTGTGTGTGTGTGTGTGTGTGTGTGTGTGTGTGTGTGTGTGTGT